ATGATGTCCTGTGCACCCTGCTCTGGGTGAGCCTGCTTGAGCAGGGGGGTTGGACTGGGTGATCTCTGGAGGGCCCTTCCAACCCCTGCCATGCTGGGATTCTAGGATTCTGTGATTAATAAGATGCTTTACAAAGTCAAAAGTGGTGCTCTGATGCTACTCAGTTTTCTTAAAGATTCCTTCATGTCCAGGAACCTACCAAGTATCAAGCAGTAGTGAGACTTCACTAGGATGTGTTACACCCGATACCTAGGAAAAGCTACAAAAGGCATAAACCCATAGGTTTCGGTGCTCAGGCCACCTCTTCAGTGTGAATCTGCAAGCATCTCTTTTGGGCAGATCTGAGAATGATCATACTTCCCCTGAAATAATTGGCACGACTGCTGTCGTAGGAGCTAATGAACTAGATGGGCGGCTCGTCTAATCCAGCATAATTGCTTGTGTTCACATTGCACTGTTTATTATGGAGCCTCTGCCTAATGCGAAAGGAGTATCAGCGTGACAGAAAGCTGCCCCCTTCATCAGCTCCTTGAACAGTGACTTGATTGGCACTTGTCTGGCTTGGGGATTTTTCTGTCATTAATTTGTCTGCTGAACACTTAGACTTGCTCATGCTTCTGGCCTTACTTGTTGCCTTCTTTATTTCTGGCTGTAGCAGTTTTCTCGTTTACTTTGTCCTTCACAGTTTTACAGCAATTTGATATCTTGCCCATTCTCCCCACCCTGATCACACTTGTGCAAGCTGGAGTGTCATGCTCCATTTACTTTCTTCAGTAGGGAACTGTCCTGTAGCTGGCTCATCTTTGTTGCCCTTCTCTGGCCTTTGCTTATTCTACCATTTTAATTGTTGTTAAGTAAGTGCATGCAGGATGTGATATGTGGGTGCTCTCTTTGCATTTGTGTGGTTGCTTACTTAAGGGGTTTTGCTTCTCTGCTCCTTTCCTAGTCACTGCTAACTCTGTGCTTGTCTTGGTAGCTGTTGATCACAGAGCTGGTTTCAGCAACAGTAAAAATCATCATCCGTCATGATTTCAGTATCACTTTCCTGAGAGGCCACAGCTCATTTAGGGCCCTGTTTGGTTTTCCTCTGTGGATTAGCATACACTTAACTGCAACTGCCCGTCATCCACACCACCTTATTTCCTAGGCAGTTCCTGGTGTGAAATCCTTGTGGTGGTTTTAGATTTGAATGCTGGTTTTGCATGTGCTTGATCCTACTGGCACTTTGGCAGACTTGCTGTTCCGTGATACAGCTGATGGCCTTAGCAAGTTGCTCCTCAAAGCTGCCGTGTTTCACAGTCAGTTTGTCACTTGCACAAATATTACTTTTTAAGTAAAGGTTTTGTTTGTTTTGTAATCTGCTTTGCTCTTCAATCTTTTCACTTGCTTTTCTTGCTGGACAGCAGCAGAGCACAGAGAATGAAACACTCGTCACTCTGAGTGTGTTTCATGTGCTCCTATGGCTGCTGCTTTTGATGCTTTTTTTTTTTTTTTTTAATGCATTTCCCCCCTTTTCTGAAGCTGAAGTCATGTGCTGAAAGAATAGAGCATAAAATCCTGCAGAAATGCTGAATTGGAACCACCGTGGTCAGTATCAGAAGCTTGTTTCGTAGCTAGGCCCTGTCTGCTGTTGAGATTAAGTCCTACTATGTGATTTCCAGCTGATTTGAGCATCATCTATGTTATTTTGAGGCTTTAATTCCTGCGTGATGTCTCTGAGGAGACTGGTAAACTTTAGAGGGGAGAACTAGGCTCCCTCTAATACTATTTTCTACTTTTGTAGTAATACAGTAAATACAGTGCAGGCACTATAACCCGCCCAAGATGAATCGTCAAAGACAGGAGGCAAGGCACTGCTGCAAAGCTCCCTCTGCTTAGAACATCTCGTTGCAGCTACAGCAGACACTTCACCCACTTTGAGTTGGTCCAGCTCCATACTGCATCCCTGGCCAGCTGCGCCTGTTCTGGGGAAGCTTTCAAAAGCTGAGATCATTACCTAGATTGTTCAAGTAATATTGTGGATGCTGACTTCTACGGAAACTCCCATCTGTCATCAATCCAAAGTACAGCAGCTACAAACTTAGTTTTGAGATGCTTTGGTTTACGCTTGGCTCCTGGGCAAGGCCCAAAGGAAACTTGTGATTCAGCCCTGAGGCAGGCATGCTCTTATCAGTAGCGTGGAGCTGCTGGGAGGAGGTGGCTGCAAATATTCTGGAAAACCCCAACTCCTGATGCTGTTGCGGGATTTCTGTGTCATTGGGTCCTAGGTGTTTGTCTGCAAAGCACCTTGGAACAGAGCCTCTGGTTGTATCAGTCTCTCTTGAGGTACTAGGCATCTCACAGCATGTGACATCACTGTTCGCGTTAGCTTTTAAGTCGCCTTGGCGTGAGTTTTGGAATACCTTTCTCAAAAAAGAGCTTTCTGAACTTTTCTTCCTTTCTTTCTACAGGCTGACGAAGATCCTATCATGGGATTCCACCAGATATTTCTATTAAAGAACATCAATGATGCCTGGGTTTGCACCAATGACATGTTCAGGCTAGCATTGCACAACTTTGGCTGAGCTGGCAACCCTGAGGCACCTGTGCTTTTTTTTTTTCTTTCCCCCCCCCCCCTTACTGGTATTATTCACACTCACGAACATTCCAAATATCATACACAAACCTGCAGCACTGCAGAGCGTGAGCAAGCAAGACCTGTGACCTGCCCTTCTGCTGAGTTTACGTTGTCACTAGATGAGTTTCTTGTGCATGATGTTTGGAAGTTAGGCTTAGCTGCATTTGACAAGAGAAATTTGTGTTGTACCAGCATGCCTCGGAAAGAATTTATAATGCAAAAGGTTGTTGTTTGTGTACTGACAAGATGCTCTATAACCCAAAGAAATGAAAGAACAGCAGCCTGTACAGCCCAGATACTGATTTGTTCAGATGTTTCAATGCTACATTACACAATAAAACCATGAGATTTTCTTAACAGTTTAAATTGGTTTAATGAGTTGGATACGGAGTACACGGTACCACATGCCTTGGATACCCTCTGTCGGGTGAGGAAGCGCTTACAAACTGAAAACTCTCAAGCTGAAGAGCCCTCGATAGCTCCACCCATGGAGGCAGTTCAGGTATGCTCTTGGCCGTGCAACTTCTGTTCCCCCTCCTGCTCAGCAGCTTTTACAACAGCGACTTCTAGCTCAGTTTTTAACATGGACAGCTTATCATAGAATCATAGAATCATCTAGGTTGGAAAAGACCTTTAAGATCATCAAGTCCAACCATTAACCTAACACTGCCATCCCACCACTAAACCATGTCCATAAGCACCTCATCTACCCATCTTTTAAATACCTCCAGGGATGGGGACTCTGTTCTCAGCTGTTGTATTTGACCAAGGCAAAAGCCTAAAATAATACCCAGGGACGGCAACAGTCACGGTAGCCTGTAGTTAATCTGTATGACCTGTATTATGTTCACCCTCCAAGATGTATTTTCCTCATAGGCAGGCACACAGGATGTCAATCCAGCTCTAAAGTCAAGCCTGGAATCCAAGTATCCAGCTCTTAAACCCTGGCCTGATTCGTGCTCTGCGGTGCCTTTCTAGCATCCCTTTGTTATAATCTGAGTTGGTTGGTGGCACTGCGTTTGCTGTGGGGGTTTTTACAATGCTGTTAGCTGTCGTGTCCTCCACCCTGGAGGTGGTGGTGTTCCACCAGCAAAGGGGTTTATTAAATTAATCTTCCCAGCAGAATTGCATTCGCTTTACCTTCAGACCTCACTCAGCCATTAGGCCCTTGCTGAGCTCGCTTTCAAAGTGGCATTTCCCTTTCTGAGACTTGGGGTGTGCTCAAGCTGCTCTGTTCCCAAACCTGGCTGCCTTGGCATTTGAACTGGAGAAGAGCTTTTGTGGGAGCTGATGTTAGGACCCTCCTCTTTGCTACTGGAGCATTTTCACGCATTCGTTCCCTGTAGGTAGGGCTCTTCTGCCACTGCTTCTATGCTATGAAAGCCACGCTCTGAAGAATCACTTGAAGAGATGGGCTCTTTCGGTAGAAGGAGGCACGTTGCGTAGTCGCTGTGAAGCAGGGTTCCTGATATCGTAGCTCCACATCTAAATGGAGCCTGGCAGGGGAAGGAGGATCTAAGAATAGGTCTGGCTTACAAACCTTGCCCTGCAGAAGGATCCAGTCCATGAGGTCAGGGTAGTCCTTTGAATAACGAGCTCAGCAAGCCCAGAGCGAGCTTGCCTGAAAGTCACGTTCAAGGAGCCATGCGTGTTGCAGGTGTTAGTTTAAAAACTATATAAAATGAGATTATTTTAGGCTGCTAAAAGTTCAAAGTGGTTATCTTCCAAACTTGGTCACATAGGTCTTTCCAGGGCTGCTTTTTCCTGCCTTTCTCCACGCGGTTGTTCACTCCCAGTTCCTCACCTGGAGCAAACACCGGAGTTTCTACGTCAGTGTTGCTGAATATTACTGACACCCGCGGGCCGCTTTTTGAGGCCTGATGTATGCAAACAGATTTGCTGTCTTGTAACTCATTTTCCATGCCGGTGTTTTCTACAAGCATTAGGCTGGGCTGCAGGCGTCACCTTGGGAGGTGGGAGGGCAGCGTGGGGAGGGGGCGAAAACCGCCTCTGCTCGTAGGGCAACTCTACGCGATTATTTTTCCCCCCTAAAGAACCTGACTTAACGCTTTATGAGTGAGGCTTTAGCTACCCCGTCCTGGTACTGCACCTAGCGGGAAATCGCGTTGGCCGTAACGCCCGAGGGGGCCAGGGCCGGTGTGGGCCCTCGAGGCCTGCGGCAACCAGTTCCCCCTCAGCGCCCGG